CGGACATTGCACAAAACCAATATACTAATTCACTTCGTGAATGAGTATAATTATACTTGACAGATAAGCATGTAAAAGCCAAGTAATGCATCAAGTAAATATATTCGTATCACATCGTGTCCCAAAATAAGCATTCTACAGTGCGATAGTCGAGACTGCTCAACTATGGGATCCTGCAAGGAGCTGATATTTCAATCATTCAATGTTTGCTTTTTGCTTGTGCTAAAGCACAAGTCTCTAGTATTTTAAAGGAGTTTTTACAATCGGCATAGGGGGCTTGGGATTCAAAATGTATAAATTAAAAAATTGATAACTATTTACGACTCAGATTGTCACCCTGATCAAGAACATATATACTTTATGGGGTCTGCCACTCCTCTTTCTCTCACTTTGACAAAACAATTATACCTTGACAGAAAATAATTAGTTTGTAGAAATTCATGGAGCTTTCTTTCTTTATTATTATTTATTATACACCACATATAGATCAATAAACCTCAATATTTCCCATCGATTTAGCAGAACAATCAGCGATTCTAAATGGGCCATTTTCTTACTGCATGTTAATTCATGTTAATAGCAAATGAATGAGACTTGAAGAGGTGAGTCTAAAATGAGGAAAGTTTACATTTGTCATTTTATACTAAACAATTGACCCAGTTTAATTGATTTTCGAGATAATGCTGAAGAGTATAAAAGCTTAACCGATTAACATCAGAGAGATATAACAATATGCGCAGACGAAAAAGAGCTGATATGTATTAGAATATTGCGCAATATGAACACAAAGACCGAAGAACCATTAACTTTCGCTCTGACCTTGCTGCTTCTTTGGCATTTGGATTCCATTGATATGCGCGGATGTGGGCCAACAATATGCCGACGCGCGCCAGCTCTGCAAAATTCTTTTTAGTTTTTACGGCAGCCGTAATGGCGTGACGAAAGAAAAATATCGAACATGATAGGTGCTAGCATAGAAAGTCATTGAGATTTATATTCGAATCATTATTAATTTCATCAAAATATAAAGAATAAAGAAACCGAAATAATAGACCGATTTCTCAGTAGATGCGATTAATAACGGTCCCATAGAATCTGGATGATTGAAAGTAAGATTTTAAAATTTGTATATTATATGTGCTTGCACACATTCTTTGGATCAATATAAAAGTGTTAGATTTATCGGCGAAAGACAGCATTTGTTTATTCGCCATGACGGTGATCACATTAATCTATTTCTTCTGTGGTAAGCAACAGGAATCGATTACAACGATTGAGAAAAATTAATAAAGTCAACTCCTCATTTAGGGATATGCGTTGCCAGCAGTGTGGGCACGGTGTCTTCGAAGAACACTGAGCAAGAAACGGGACGATTCGTTGCCACTATTCAGTCTCCGGTTCCAGCGCCACCCTCACCACCAAATGTAGTATACAAACTACCATCACCATACTATCCGCATCCGCATCCGCAACATCAATGTTTTTGTCCGCCGGGTCCTCCAGGACCACCGGGTGTGCCGGGACCACCAGGTCCTTCAGGTGAGCCTTCCATTTAAGGTGTTTTTATTTGTATTATCCTATTCCACCTTTATGCAGGGTCGCCGGGAAGACCAGGTTACCCTGGTATAAAGGGAGACAAAGGGTCAAAGGGAGATAAAGGTCACTTTGGGTTACCAGGACATCGCGGTCCAGTTGGGCCGCCAGGTTATCCTGGTGACAAGCACTGGCCGGCACCTCCACCTCTGTATCCACATCAACCTCCTATAATAATACCCATTCCTATTCCACCGCCGCACAAGGGAAAGCATCATAAAGATTATAAAAGTGTCCACACAGTAGTTCCAGGATTTCCCGGGCTTCCCGGCCATCCGGGTCGCCCCGGGTATCCGGGCTATCCAGGTCACCCAGCACATTCAAGTCCAGGTCATCATCATGCTGGCCGTCCTGGACATCCAGGACGTCCAGGATATCCAGGTTATCCAGGACTTCCGGGACATCCAGGTCATACAGGACATTCAGGGCATCCAGGACATCCAGGACATCCAGGTCATCCAGGACATCATCATCATGGACATCATCATCATGGACATCATCATCCTGGCCATCATCATCCAGGACATCACCGGGGACCCCTACGAGATCAACCCACAGACAATTCTATAGATAATGAATTAAATACATTTGAAAGTTTAAGTGATGACCATACTGATGACCAAAACAATATCAACGATATCAACGAATCACTGGTCTATCTAACACAAACTTTGTTTGACGAAGGTGAATCCGGTAATTATCAGGCTAGTACACCTCTGAGCATCAAAGACAGTTCTGAAGCCGACAAGCCCAACACAAACGAACAGGGTGTTGAAGAACAACAACCAGTAATCAATAGCCAGTCCGAGGAGAATAACGATGTTGAAGAACGCAGTTCGAAAGGTCCACTTATTTTAGCAATATCCACTCCTCGAAATCCACTCCAAATATATGCATACGATAAAAGTAAATAAAAACATGTAAGAAGGCTCTAGTCGAGACTGCTCGACTAAGAGATACCATGAACCTCCAAGCTGATATTCCTATCATTCTGCACTTCTTTTATGCACGCACACATACATACATATATGTATATGCATCCACCCTCACGCGCCCCCGCTCTGCTAACTGCGCAGTAAGCAGCGACTG